GTATGTGTAATAGAATGTTTTGATTTTCTACAAAAGGGGAAAAAAAAACAGATTTTTTTTTTATTATATCAAAAAAGAAACTAATTTTAAATTTTCAGACTCTAGATAAGTTGTATTAAATTTAAATCATTGAGTCATACACTCACTCTGAATTTTAAACAATACATTTATATATATATATAAAAATAAATCACGGAATTTTTTGCTGGCTATTTGTAAAACAAATTTTCTCCTAAAATTAAATTTGCCTAATCACAATCAAAAGCAAATCTTGGTTTTTTTTTTGTGAACAAAACTATGAAACAATTTTTTGTTGTTGTTTTGTTGTATCTTAAATATCCTCTAATGGTGGTATTCCCAATCACGAGTTAACCTCGGGTTATCCCCGAACCTTAGGTAACTCGCAGATTGGCGAAAAGTCATTATTCTCAATTGCGGATCGCGCCAAATCCACGGAATATTCATCCAAAGGTATAACTCGCCGATTCTACCCGCCGATTTCAGAGGGTAACTCGCGGATTTTGATCACGCCAATCTGTTTGTAAGCAAAGATGGACGTAACAAAGAATGATTATCAATGTCCAATCACAACGACTGTAACATTTTGCCCACGCATAACTCACGGATTCGGTAATCGTCAGTTCGAGAATAAGAAAGGAGAATTATCCGCGAGTTATCGGCGAGCGAGAGTTACCCAATCCATGAGTTTTCTTTTCAATAACTCGCGATTGAGAATACCACCGTAAGTGATTTACTATGGCTACTTCCTTCTATATAAAATTGGTGACATGACTTAAAATCTCTACACATTAAGATTACCTTAGCCCTGCTTTACCACGCATCTTCTGTAGAATCAAAATTCCATTGTGAAAGGATAGGTTGCAACACTGCCAGCACAGCAAGATGGGTGAATATAAAAAAATTAGGTACTATGACTTTGACACTTTTTTGGATGTTGCTAACCTTAAAATAGTAGCACCTATACGACGTTCACAAAAGAAGAGTGCATGCTAGTGATGAAACACAATCACTTAAAGTTCTTTTTATAAGCTTTTATTTAACTTGCAATGTAAAATGTTCGGGTGGAATCTTGAAACTCAATTTTGAAGCTGATGTCTTCAACCGATTAAGCTGAAATTTTGTATACACGTTTAGTTTGGATGACAATGCATGTTTTGACGATCTATATTCCGATATCGACCTACTTACTGTAACGATCTTGTTCAGGTGTTAAGGCGAGCATGTTTACAATAACACAGGTGTTGACTGGGAGCGTAGCTCAGATGGTAGAGCGTTCGCTTAGTATGCGAGAGGTACGCGGATCAATACCCCGTGCTTCCAATTATTACTTTTTCGTGCAAAATATTTTTGAAATTCGTTTGATTTGTACAAGGAGATATTTTACAATATTTCCACTCTATATACGTACAAAGTATGTTATATTTTACAAGTTTTTATTTAACTTAAAATAATATGTAAATTGTTCTGGTGGAATCATGCAACTCACCTTTGAAGCTGATGTCTTCAACCGATTGAGCTGAAATTTTATGTACACGTTTAGTTTGGATGCAATGCATGTTTTGACTAATTATATTCCGATACCTCAATTAGTTAAAAAGACTAGCAAAACTGCCCGGAGTAAAACGAGCTTTCTCTACTTTTATAAATTTACCCTTTCCTTTACAAAATCAGCACTTCTAATACTCTTTTATTAAATGACTTCCATTCCCCCTCCTCCGCTTAGCCCAGAGTTGCTCTAGCTTTTACCGAGTGTATAACTTAAAATTCCTTTTTTCGAAATTTTTTCGCTTTTCTTTGTCAGACAGGTTTATTTCCCCCCTGCATTGCACGAACATTTTTAAACGCATAACATATTGTCATGGAAATTCTCCTTCCCCTCGCGATATCAGAGCTCTCGAGTAAGTAAACGTTCACAGATTCTTAAACAGCTTGACAAGTGCCACCATCTAGTGGCAGAAAAAGCAATGAATTATTGCACACACAAAAAAAGTAAAACAAAGTTTTCGACATTTTATTTTTTAAATCACTAAAAGTAAAAATTTTAAGTATGAGTTTCTTAAAAATCATTTTAATATAAACTCATCGATATTGATTCATTTTGGAAAAAAATCATAAAGTACGTATAGTATTGTTGTTTTGTAAAATAAAATAAAATAAAATAAAACATATTGTATTGTGACGAAATAAATTTTCTTCCCAATTACAAAATTGCTGGCGAAGTTATTAAATGCGAGAATAAAATTTTGAGTATTTTTTAAAGAATCATAAATACTTAGCGATGATGTTGTTTCGAATCCGGGTACAAAAGTTATTAATCCAGCGCTCTAAGCGATCGATCTACGAAATATTCAAAAAAATTAAATAAAAGACCTTTAAAATATAAGGTAAAGATATTCAATTTCGCATTACGTTATTTGTTAAAGATTAAAAAATTTTTTCGGGCTTTATTTTTAAGTTAATGCCTTCAAACTTCATATATCGATTAAAAACAACGGTGATTTTTAGACAAAAAATGTAACAAAAATAATGCTGAAATATTTCTCGCAAAAAAGGAAAAAAACGAAAAACACAATTTTTTTTAAACCGCAATTTTTAAGCAATTTTTTCAATCTTTGTACATATTACGGATAATATTGTTCTACACACGGAGAAAAGTTACTTGAGATTAAATTTATAAATAAAGAAATTATTAAGTATATAAAGAAAATTTTGAGTATTTTTTGAAAAATCGTAAAAAAAAAAAATCTTTGACGTTTTATTTTTTAAGTGACTCAATCTAAAATAAAAAAACATGAACTTTATTAGTGTAGAATATCATTTCATTCACTTGAAAGAAAATGCAATCGGAACGATTTAGAAATTCTTTTCATAAAAACGTATCGATTTTGACTCATTTTAGAAAAATTTGTAAAAAATATTAAATATCATTATTTTGTAAAATAAATTATAGTATATTGTAGCGAAGTAAATGATCTTTCCGATTCTGTAATTATTTTTTGTCTGAGTATCATAAAAAAAATTAGATCGTGTTTTAAAAACGACTGGGATAAAATAAAGGTAAACAAATTGGAAATACGCTACCTGGCTAGAAAAATGGCAGTAATTATGCGTTTTAAGTTTTTTAATTTTCATCTTTTCAACTAATTGCACTATCAGAATATACATTTCCAAAATTGATTCCTCGGATCATTCCCAAACTTTTGATATCTTCAACGATTTTATGTTTCGTGCGATTCGTGATAAGATACACTTAGTCGTATAGTCGCATACGTTTGTTTACCTTCGAATTTTCATCGTGTAGATATTAATTAAAATAATTTTTTCGAGTTGAATCTTGCAACTCTTTTTCGAAGCTGATGTCTTCAGCCGATTGAGCTGAAATTTTGCATACACATTTAATTTGGATGACAATGCATGATTTGATGATTTATATTCCGATATCGCAATTAGTGAAAAATGTATTAATAGAAAACCTTTTACCCCTGTTAACTTTTTATTCTGCCCAGCAGCTTAGCGGACTGAGCTTTAAGAAGTTCCGATTTTTCGACCTTTTTTAAAAAATCATCTTATTCTTTCTGTCAAATTGAGGCAAAAAATAATTACGTAATCGGAAAGAAAATTTATTTTGCCACGATACGGTATAATTGTTTTTAAAAAATAATGGTATTTTCTATTTTTTAATATTTTTTCTAAAATGAGTCAAAATCGATGCGTTTTCATGAAAATAATTTTTAATTTTTTTGTATGAATTTTTTTTCGTGTTACTGAATCAATATTCTGCATTAAGAAAGTTCAGGCTTTTCTCTTTAAGGATCAGTCCTTTAAAAAATAAAATGCTTAATTTTTTTTTAAAGATTTTTCAAATTTTTAATAAAACATTTAAAAACTTCGTCCTTTTAAAATACAATCGCACCAAAATGTTTTTTCGTTTGTAGAATAGTATTATCTAAATTCTGCACTAGAATTGAGGAAATTGGTTTAAAATTACGGATTAAGAAAAAAATATTGTGTTTTTCGTTTTTAATATAGCATTATAGTAAAAGAAAAAAAAAAAGAGCTTTAATATTTTAATTTATTTTGCTTTGTCCAATGTTGTTTTGGTCTAACAGTGTTTATCCCCACTTCCCATTATCCTCTTGTTGCCTCCCGACTGAAATATTTATCCATATGTATGTATGTGAGCTATCGGGAAAAAAGGTTGAGTACCCCTTAGATGGACTGTTCAAAATTAACCGGGAAATGACCTTGCAACAATAATGCGTTAAATGAAATTAACAGACTGAAAAACCTCTGTCCAGCGATAACTAAAAAGTAAATTAAAAGTAGAAAAAATTTATTAAAAACAAGCTTTTATTTAAATGCTCTAAAAAGAATAAATTAAACTTTTCTTTTAAAACTTTTTTGCTATCAAATTATAAAATCGTTACACAATTTATGATATTTAAGCTTGTCGCGAGATTTACTTGTTTAGATAAACAAGCAAATTAAATGACTTGAGAGATAGATAGATAGAGAGAGAGAGAGAGAAAGATCTGATTATATATAATTTTAATTTTTAAAATTTTCCCAACCTTAATAAATACGAGTATTTAAATCTCACAACAAGCTTTTATATCATAAATTGTGTAAAGATTTTATAAGTTGTTAGCAAAAAAAGTATTAAAAGAAAATTTTATTTTACTCTTTTTAGAGCATTTAACTAAAAGCTTGTTCTTTGAAAAAATTTCTTTACTTTTAATTTATTCAATTGGTCTCGAGAAGCGAAACCTGTCAAGAAAGGAGTTCATCCAATGGTATGTTATTAATTATTTGACGGATGATTTGACGGATTATTTTGTGAAGAGGTACCTAGACTGCGTCAGCAGTCTTCAACCCTCTATCTGGTTATTCAATGTTCATGGTGTTGCAGCTTTGGTTGGGAGAGGAGGGCGTGACTTCAGGAGTGGAGAA